AGAGTGCGTGTGGTAGCAGATGACTTCAGGGTGCTGCAAATAAAAAATTACAGCCATCTCCTCCCCTGCCAAGGTACGCCTCTTCCCTCCACCGTGGGTTTTCCGGGATTCCTGTGTTGCTTCTGGCTTGTCCTGGTTGTGAAGGGCAGTGCAGGGGGTGCGCAGCCCTCTCCTCAGCTCCCAAACCCGTCACTGCTGACTTGCGGCAGCAGCAGTGGCTCAGCTCCTCAGCTCGCTGCCAGCCTGGGCCCAGAGCCCACCTCGCCCAGGCGTTTCCAGTACAGTCTGCTCCTGCCTGCCTGGGGACACTGGCTGAGGCTCAGCCTGACCCTGCCGAGCTGGATGTCTGTCCTGGCCCTTGGGAAGGAGAGTGTGGCTTGGCAGGGGCTGGGGAAGGGGTAGGTTCCTGGTGGGGCCACCTGCATGGGCTTTTGTGGCACTGTCCCATTTGACTGCAATCCCCTGCGAGCCCACCGCTCCTGGGAGTTCACCACCCCTAGGAGTCCACCACCACCAGGATCCCACAAAAACTGGGACCCCACCATTGCTGGAACCCCACCAGCACCAGGAGCCCTCCAGTGCCTGGAAGCCCACCACCCTGCGATCCCACCACCACTGAGATCCCACCAGATCTGGGAGCCCCCCACTCATCACTGGAATCCCACCAGCACTAGGAGCCAACCACCCCTGGGAGCTTCTGGGCTGGGGTGGCAGTGGTTTGGCAGAGGTGCAGGGCAGTCCCCTGCCTATTTCCACCCACCTCGACCCTTCTGCCTGGCCCAGATCCCATTTCGGTGTGTGGCCAAGGGTGGGTGAAGGAGGAGGTTGGCAGGGACACAGCCCTGTGCTGCCCGCCCTGCACAAGGAGCTCTCTTGTTCTCCCTGGCTGGACTGCGGGCAGTGCTGGTGTGGGGATGGGCAGATCCACCCATCGTTTGCTTTCATGGCCCTGACACCAGCCCTGCCCTGCCGCAGAGCCCACCCAGCGGGTGGCTGGACAGGGACGTGGAGTCATCACTTTGGCTTGGCTGAAACCTGCATCCCGCAGAGGCTGCTCAGTGCCCAGGGGAGCTGAGATGCTCTGTGGGGACAAACGCTGTTTGGGGAGGGGAAACTGTCCCCAGGGGATGCGTGGCACCTTGGACCCCAGGGCTGTTATCAGTGGAGGGGCGAGGGGACGTGTTGGCCCGGGCAGGGCGCAGCATCTGCCAGCAGTGCCGTGTGTCACCGCTGCCCTTCGCTCTGCCTAACCTTGGGATGACAGCAAACAAGGCAGGAGAGGCTGGGCAGAGGGCTCGCTGCCAGGCACCCGGGCAATGATTAATCTGGAGGCATGAGGAAAGCCGGAGGGGTGGGCAGGAGGAGCACAGGGTGCTGAACCAGACTGTGACAGGGCGCTGGGTGACAGGGGCAGCTGTATAGTCCCATGGGTGCTCCCTGGGTGCGTTTCATTTCTGAGGGGTGCTCAGGGGTGTGGAGGGTTGTGCTGGGTGATTACCACCCCCTGCACGGGCAGCGTGGGTGGTGATGCACAGCCCTGGTGCATCTGGATCAGACCTTTGCACTCCCTGAAGGTGCCGCTCCCTGCCACGCTGTGCCAAAGTCCCTGCAGCTCTCAGGGACGAGTCCAAGGAACAGGAAAAGAGATTTCCCACCTGGGCACGTCACTGCTGATCACAGATATGCCTCCCCTGCGCCCAGATTCAGGTGTTTTGACAGGCCCAAGCTGGGGCTGAGGACGGGTTTCAGGCAGCGTGTCCTTGGGTGTTACCCTTGGTGGATGTTCAGCCCATGTCACCCAAGGGCTCTCTCCACCCTGAGCCCTGCCTGTGGGGTGCAGGGAGAGAGCCAGTGTGCACATCTCCACACTGCATGCAATGGGCAGTTGTGGCCAAGGGCAACGGGGCACAACCCCTCGATGGTGCAGGGCGCTGGTGGCACTGGGGAGAGGGACACAAGGGCTGATGGGCAGGGGCTGGAGTGGGGTGGGAGGCAGGCAGGGGGTATATGTGTGTGTGTGCATGTTTCTGCAAGGAGAGGCAGCCAAGGAGGGGGTTCACTGCCCTGGACAGTGCCAAGGTACCCCCGGTGTGCACGGACCAAGCCCACCTTCTCAGTCATATTGTTTTGGCCAAAGGGATTGGCGCCTGCCTGCTCCATCCCTCTCCCCATGGCATGTGAGCCAGGCCACCGCCACGCTTTGGATGAGAGTGATTTTGTCCCAGCATTGGGATACGCCTGGACATCTCCAAGCATTCAGCTGCGGGCACAGCCCGGGCACATGGACTTGGAGGGATCACGCTGTGCCCATTCGGGTGCCCACTCTGCACTTGCTGCCATCATCCAGGGTGCTGCCACGCACCCCATGGGCATGCAGGGGAGGACCCAGAACTGCCAGGGCCC